ATAAATTTTATTTTTTTTTTAACGTTACAATAATATCAATTCTTACCTCTTTAACAAGTGTTCTAGTAGTCTCCACCTCAATTTTTTAAGTGCAATTGTTAATCCACGGGTTTCCCATCTCGATTTATATACAGTTCCAACCCTATAAGAAAAGTGGTTCGGGATGTGGCACGTGAAATTAGTGTAAATGCACGGTATGGTACGTTTCGTGTGGTACGTACATGCACGTTTCACGGGATGGCGCGATTAAAAATGACACGGAAATTACGGAAAGGAAGTGGTTTGTTATGGCACGTTATACGGAATGTCACGGGCAGTGTGGCACGCACCGACACGTTTCACGGGATGGACCGGTTAAAATGACACGGATATTACGGCAAGTGTGGTTCATTATGTTGTATCTTACAGAATGGCACAGGCAGTGTGGCACGCACTGACACGTTTCACGGGATGGACCAGTTAAAAATGACACGGATATTACGGCAAGTGTGATTCATTATCGGAATGGCACGGGCGAAGTGGCATGTACATGTGCGTTTCACGGAATGGCACAGACAAAATGATACGGACATTACAGTAAGGGTGGTCCGGTGTGTCACGTCGTATAAAATGGCACGAAGTGCGTACGTACGTACGTACCACGCACATGTTTACATGTTGTATATGCAATAATATATGTATTGAACGTGGCGTTTTATCTCATTTTTTTTATCTTAATTGAGATAAAAGATCGTTAGTATAATATTTTTAAAATCATATAGTATTTTCATGAAACAACACGCAGAGTGTAATTTTGAAATTTGGCCGAATTAAGCTTAATTCGGGCCAAAATTCAAAATAATGCCCCTGCACGTTATTTCGCGAAAATATGGTAAATTGTTGGGATGATGAATTGTTAAATTTAAAAGGTTATAGTGCATAATACCATATAATATATTATTGAAATTAGTAAACTTTGCGATTAATTCAAATATACTATCTAATTTGTCTTATCAATAACATATGAATGCCTTCCTAGTTTTAAAAAACCCACACATCTTCGTATCATTGATACATCTATAAACTCATAATTACCAAATTCTTCAAAATTACATAAGCCATATGACCCTTTTTGTACATTTCTTACATTGTGAATATATGCAAGCAATTGATACTTTCCACAAAAAACATAGTAAAAATAATATTGTACTTGGCCAAAAAATTGCCGTAGTTCATACTTTTCTGGATTCTTTGGCTTTGCAATATTAACTTCAAGTTCATACTTAACAAGAAATAAATTTTAAATATGCAAATTAATTACTGAATCGAATATTTATAACTTTAAAATATTTTTGCAAAAAAAAATTACCAAAACACATGTATTTTCACGTGCATTAGCACTAGCTGTTGACATTAAAGAACCAATCATATAGCCTTCTCTAGTACGTAGCTTTGTATATTTTACTCCCCAGTCATATAGCTAATATAGTAAAATAATATGTATAAATATTAGTATTTTTAGTTATAAAATTCAAATAAAATAAACTTACTTCTATAATCGGTTGATCAAAATTAGCGTGATAAAATTTTGACAATGCTGTAAATTCTTTATTATTTAAAGTATAATTTTGACTTGGTGCCCAAAGTTCTTCTCCACCATCTTCAATCCAAACAACTTGTTGCATATGATACTGTTTTGGTGGTTGTAATGGAAAAATTTGTGTGTATATATAGTTGGTAAAAAGCGAAGATGATTAAAATAATCAAGTAATAAAATATTATTCATCAAATTTTTTTATGGATGTAAATTGGATCGAATCATAGGTTGTAGTATTCCACATAATCGTTCTATTGGATATTGCCAATATACCCAACATGGTCCACAATTTTCAATACAAGCTTGTATAAGAAGCAAATAATGAAAGGTAATTTTAAAGGCTGGTAAGCGTTTTATATCTTTACCAACATATAGTCTAAATAGATATATTATAAAGTATAATAAAATTGGTAAGTAATTTAAAAATTAATTGTATATTTTAAAGCTATTTAATATTTCAAATTACTGTAATAACATTTAAAATATTTAATTTAATAATAATAAATTATTATATATAATACCTAGTATATAGCTCAAAAAATTTTTGAAAATTTTCATCTAAATTATATAGTTGTTCTCAAGTAATTGATTTTTTAATAGCTATTTGAGCAGCTTTGACAAACAAATACCAATGATCTACAAATCTATATAATACATAAAAAGTTAATTATATAATTGCTAATTAAATTAAAATTTAAAAAATTACCTTTTATCATGAAATTGTTGTAATAAAGGAATTGAATATAAGCAAGTCCAATTTACCCAATCTTCTGCTTTAAATGAATTTAAATACTTAGTAATATTTAATGGGGTTGTCCAAATTCAGATGGCATTGTTTTTTTATTAGCTTCCATACTATTACTAATATTTTTCCATATAGCCTTAG